ATATAGAAGACAAATACTGTTGGTTATTAAGAATGATTAATAAAATTTTTGTAATTTTATATGGTAGGTGTTGTGTATGGGCGTCAGCCCTTAAAGTGTTAGTATAAAAGCCCAGCCAATAGTTAGTTCGTCGTCTCAGTTTTTAGTTCTTCCTACAACCTTCGTCTGCTTTGTATTTCTTTGTGCAATAAACGTTTCTGTTAGCTTCCTCTGCGTAACCGGGGTCGTAACAGATTTGGCGCGGTCGTGTTCAAAAAGAACCAGTCGTCAGTTCGTCAACTTCAGTAAGCTGTGTGTCGTCAACGTAAGCTGTGTGCAGTTCAAGGAACGTAAAAAGTGTGGATAATAGTGCAGTGTTGTAAAACCGAAAAGGTTAGTGAAATTGTAGTGTTTAGAAAGTGTAGTGATAAAAAGTTTATTTTAGTGAGTGAAAATGGATGCAAAAACAGTTGAGAAATTGCTAAAGGCTCAGCAGGAGTATTTCGAGAAAATGATGGTGAAATTGTTGAAGCCGAGTGAGTGGAAGCCGAGTCAGTTATCTCTAGAGTTCAGCGGAATCGGGATCCCGGTCGGGATTGTTAATTAATTTTTGTTTGATTTTACTCAGCTTAGCGATTTTTCGCATGGAAAGGAGACATGGAAAATGTTGAGAGATAACAGTAAATACAAATTATTTGACTTGAAAGATATAAATTACCGAATTTGATGCGTCACAAAGCCAAAACCCCAATTAGGAGCATCAATCTATTAAAAAATTTCATTAGAAATTTAATTGCAAAATTTAATTGCACACAAAAAGAAAAAACTTATTTTTGGCATAACTTTATTCAAATTGTCAGAATTTGGGGGTTATTTAAATGAAATACCCTTATATGGGCAATGCCGGAGAATTGGGGTGAGTTCAGATTCGTAATCAGCATATTTTTTACCCTAAAAAAATACTTTTCTTAATTTTAAACTTTTTTTCGCAGGGACCCCAATTCTCCGGGATTGCCCTTATACTATGTATGGGCATTTTTACATACACAACTAAGCTTGTCTTACCGGACACACAAGAATGCGTGCTTTATAACAATCGAAAGGATTTTGAATATCATCTATTGCAGATTGGAATCTATCACCCAAACGTGAAAGTAACTGTTCATTATTTTGTTTTTTGAGAAGTCGACGTTCTGTTGATAAATAACTAAATATCTAAAACGTAAACAATGGGTCATAGATGATAAAAGTATGCTATATTCAAGCATTTTTTCAATACAGAGAACCGAATCGAAAAAACTTCGGTTCTTACAACCCTAGTGTCGTTATCAGCAGCTTTTTATTATAGCATTAATTTAATTTGAGTTATCAAGGCAGGAATGTACCAAGAAAATTATAATATTATTTGCCGTAACTAATTTATTTTTGTATAAATCGGTCTTTTAATTTTTAAATTTTGAGTTTTTAATTTTGATCTTACCTGTCTATCTATTTTCCGTTTTTCATAGTTATCATATAATAAGTAATATCCAAGTAAACGACGTAGATATATTATTTTCTGTCCAAATGACATTTGATAATATGCCTCCTTTAATTGTCAAGATTTAAATTAAATATTCCATAAATGCTCTAAAAGAAACCCTTTTCGAATAGGAGCTCTACCTAATAAAAGTCCATTAATAGTATGACCTACATGCCCTAATAGAAGTCTATACTTTACGGTATTTAAAATGACTTTTACGGCAATTAATGCCTTTATGGTAATTAACATTTAAGCAAATTTTATCAGCAGGTTTGCTCAAGTTTTTCTTTTGTTTTTTGATTTTAACCCCGCTTTATCAAGGAATTATATAGGATTAATTTATTAAATATCAATCACTCTCAAAAATTCGTGATTTCAAGATTTAATCCCAGAAATCCTATGTAATCACGTACCGTGCTGTACTCTAACTACTTAGGCAATATTAATTGTGAAAAAACCATACCGTATTTAGTGTGCTATCATTTTGTATTTTAGCATAGTTTGGCATCTTATCGTCAGAATTGTCGTTACTAAATTAAATCGTTAACGAGATTAGTAAGGGTGGTTTCTGTATGCCTAGCCTTTCTTTCTCCCAAAATTCTTTCTATTAGCCTTTGGCATCCCATCAAACAAAAAAGGACAAAATTTATAGAATTATATGCCCATATTTTTCGATTGATAGTCCATATAAATCCTATCCGAAGCTGCGTCGATACAAAAAAATCTTCGAAAATTGAAACCGAATATCGAAAGAAATAGGAAAATATGGAAATCGAAATTTTATGAAAAATTCGAAAATCGAAAGAAAAAAACGTCGAAAATCGAAATTTCCAGCTCGATCCCATCCCTACTTTAATTAAAATTATTTTTATTTTTAATCATTTAATTCTAATACAGAAAATAATTAATAAACAACCTTTCCAACTTCGTGTTGCATTTTTTCTCTAATTTCAAAAAAATATATAATAATAAAAATAAAATTATTTGTGTTATAATAATTTTATTAAATTTTAAGTAACATATTTTTATCATATTTGTCATATTTTGCTTCATTACGACATTGGAATTTTTTGTAATACTATAAAGTTGTTGAAATTTATTCATGAAATTGTTAGTTTATTTTTGTTTATTAAGGATATATTATTATTATAAAGGGTAAAATTGTGACTACTAATTGAAAAACGATTAAATCTAATGATTCTTTTATTTTTTATAACTTGTTTTTAAATATCTTTTAAATGAGAAAATTAGAGGAAAAATTAAAATTAAAGGGAAATTAGAGGGAAAATGTTCTGCAACTTTAACAGAGGGGAATGTTACTTTTTATAAATTTATATAATCTGATCGACATCAATATTATAAAAGTAATATTTTGAAACATGTTCTAGCCGATCTCTATCTTGTATAAGCGTGTTTTAATGATTTATCTATTTGAGTAATAGTAATCTTTGAACTTCACATAAGTGATAGGTATAGCCCAGAAAGCTAGTTCCTGTGCAATTCCACATGGCTCTCGCCATACACCTCTTAAAGGCTGGTGAAACAAAAGAGAAGAGCAGTGCTTTGGACAGTGCTTTTTTGCACCTTGGGAGGAGGTGGAATATCGTGAACGCCGAATCTTCATCAAAAAATATTAATAAGATACATAAAGTGTGTTAACTAATTATAAACGTACCCCTAAATTTCATAAATTGTCTATATTTTGAGGACTTTACCTGTCAAAATTTTTTTCAATAAATTATATGGAGATATTGGGGCATTATGAGATAAAAAGATAGTACACAAAACCATGAGTTAAGATTTTACAACAAAACTTTCAAAATATTAGTGTTAACTATTTATAAACGCACTTCTAGAATTTCTATTTTTTCATCTTTCTAATGAGAGTAAAAATCTATAAAAATTATGTTGAATATCTCTATCGAAATAAATAAGATTAGGCTTTTAAAGATCCTTCCAACGATAGCCCATAAAATTTGCTACAAGATACAAGTGGACCACGAGTTATTTATCTCAGCCACGAGTTATTTATCTCCTTATTCAGTGCATTTTAGGCTATTTTTATGTAGTAGAACTTTAAGCATGAGCATCTCCAAGTATAAATTTTCTACAGAAATGAATCCACTTGTATCTACTTGTATCTTGGGTACACCCCATTATACGCCGCCCAATATATCGCCGCCCAGTATACCGCGCCCATTATACCGCCGCCCAGTATACCGCGAGCCCAGTATACCGCGGGCCCATTATATCGCCGCCCAGTATACCGCCGCCCATTATACCGCCGAAAAGATTTTTTATTATCTTGGCGGGGGATGTTAAACAGTGACGGAGGATGTTGGTCCATCAACGAGGGATGTTGACCAGATGACGGAAGATGTTAAATAGTGATGGGGGATGTTGTTCCAATGACGGGGGATGTTGAACCGATGACTGGGGATGTTAATAAGCGAAGGGGGATGTTGGTCCGTCAACGGGGGGTCATTGGAACAACATTCCCCGTCACTATATAACATCCCCGCCAAACTAATAAAAAATTTTTGCGGCGGTATAATGGGCGCGGTATACTGGGCGGCGGTATAATGGGCCCGCGGTATAATGGGCCCGCGGTATACTGGGCTCGCGGTATACTGGGCGGCGGTATAATGGGCGCGGTATACTGGGCGGCGGTATAATGGGCCCGCGGTATAATGGGCCCGCGGTATACTGGGCTCGCGGTATACTGGGCGGCGGTATAATGGGCGCGGTATACTGGGCGGCGGTATAATGGGCCCGCGGTATACTGGGCTCGCGGTATACTGGGCGGCAGTATATTGGGCGGCGGTATAGTGGCCTGCTCCCTTGTATCTTGTAGCAATTTTTATGGGCTATCTGAATATCATAAAAGAAAATTTTTAAATTGCCTTAAGGGGTAGATAATATTATTTGCTCTGATCGAACTCTATTTCCCGTTGATTCTGGGGTTTCCAGATCTCGACTTTGAAAAGCGTTGGAAGGATCTTTTAAAGCGTAAATTATGTAAATTATTCTAAATTATTCAAAACACATTTAAATTTTATTAATTATTTAATTTTATTAAATGCTTTGAATTTTTCAAATCGTGAATGTTCCTTGAGTAAATACATTGGAAAAAGGCCGTAAGTTTTTAAACGAAGATTCTCGCCACGAATAAATCCATGTTTAATGTGACTTCTCACTGCTAAATAAAATAATTTAATAAAAGATTTTTTACATATTTACGTAACGTTCCCGGCGAAAAGTAGTCGGGAAATTCCCGATTTTCACGAATTTTCGATAATCGGTGATTTTGATAATTTTTGTCTGTGGATTTCATGACCCCAATGCTGTACATTTAGGCTATAAATGAAATACAGCGAAAAAATTACCAAAAATTATCGATTTTTCCGAAAAATTCCGTAAATCGGGAACGTGATTTCCGAAAAGAAATAAATTCTGATAGACCCCCTGGTACGTATTAACAGCCTTCTCCTATCTCTTCCTATGTATTATGTAACAAATTTATATTTATTCTACCTATAACATCCCCTTTTTCAGCAGAAATCTCCTCTGGTGTCCATGGATAATCTAAATACAAATTTATGTTACGCGACACAAGTCGTTTCTAAAAAATTAGCAATGTTGCAATTATCAGTAGCGCTATTTAACTGTTTGCTTCTATCCTTTTCTCGGACTCGTTTTAGTTTCATACTAGTACCTTAGTAAGTGTATACTAAAGTCTAAATACCGCTTCATCACAATTAAAATGTTAATATTTGGAGAAGGTTGATTGAGGTTTTAAGGTGGAAATCAGACATATCTGTTCTCATTTTTTCGAGTTTTTTGTGTTATTTATTTACTAATTTTTAAAGAAATTTATGTCCGTTAAAAATTATATCCACACAAACAAAGCTCATCTGACATTCATTGCTCATCTTTTTAAAAGTTTATGAATTTATTAGCAAATAATACCTGAAACTGGCGCATATTTCGATGTTGCCTCCATTCTATTGTCTGAATTATTAATATTGTAAATATATTCTTAATATCAGTACATATTATTGAGCACTAACCCAGAGCTGTTTCGAAACAGAAAGGGCCACTGACAAAAATTTTGAGCTTTTTGTAACATTTAAACTTTTATTCCCTTATCTTTGGACACATTTTTTGTTTTTCGTTTCGGAACGAAACAAAAATACACCTTTAATGAGAGGAATTTTTGTAAAGTTTTTATAGAATTTTTAGGAAATTTTGTGTAATTCCGATTAAAACTTTTGAACTTTTCGAAACACTCTTACCAAACCAATATTCCCCATAAAAATAGTCAAGTGTATGTAGATTTCCACTAGCTTCTCCTTTAATAGATTGCATCAGTTCGTAAACAATTCGGCAAGCCTTAAATACAGGGTGTTTCAACTAAGAAATACTATTTGAAAAATCCATAACGTTTTTCTGCGTTGACAGATTTCAATGAAATTTGGTATTTTATATCTATATTTTCTAGCATTTTTTTTGACATAAAAATTATGTCTAAATTCGAACCCTAACCCGAGATAATTTCGTACTCTACCGCTCTGTTTTTCTCTTTTTCCGCACATGCATTCTTACTCCCTTTTGTTTTTTTTGAGCGGCGATAGACACTAGAGTAAACACTAGGCGATAGACACTACATTTTCAATACAGTAACCACTCTTCGTCATACGCAGGAAAATAAATGAAGTAAGTTAGCATGCAATGCAAAGAGAAAAAAAAGAGAACGGTAGAGTACGAAATTGAAATACAGGGTTAGGGTTCGAATTTCGAAAAAATTTTTATGACAAAAAAAATGCTAGAAAATATAGATGTAAAATACCAAATTTCATTGAAATCTGTCAACGAAGAAAAAAGTTATGGATTTTTCAAATAGTATTTCTTAGTTGAAACACCCTGTACATTTATGGAAATCTTATGTAAGTAGATACCTACATTACTACTTAATGTGCACACCACAAACTGGCAATTAGCAAGAATACGAGTTATTGCCAAAGTTTCAATCAAAGCTTCTCTTGATCGATCTAATCAAATGAATTTTCTGTTAAATAATCTTATATAGAATATATTTTCTATTTTACCTTGGACAAATTTTTTCCCGTGGTATATTTCATATTTATTTCCATATTTATTTTTAGCTTCTTTCAACAATTGTTTAAGCTCTGAATGGTCTGTTGCAATGAATACTTTATTTCGACTTTCAGAACTAATTTTTTTATCTTCTTTCATAACTTGGAACCAAAAATCGACCCATTTCTATAAATATCTATATAAATTTTATAATGTTTAGGATAGCAGGCTTATTGCTTTATGTGTTTAAATGAACCTGATACTATCAGATACCCTATCCGAATATCATACCTACTATCAGATTGAAAATTCAAAGTTTTCAAACTTTTCTGTTATACTTAACATACCATCTTCACCGCTAAAACGGAAGATTCCATGATAGGCTAATAATCAAAAATTTCGCTTTTGGCGAGATCAGGCAAATTGCTGAAGAAGAATCGACAAGTAAAATGTATAGGCCAAGATAAACTAATATTTCAATTTTTCCGATTTATATTTTGGTTTCGATATTTTTGAAAATTTCGATTCTGAGTGATCATTCTTCTTATCGTCCCTATTTTTGACCTCAATGTAACAATTTTTCTACTCTTTATAGATAATTTTTAATCATAAATATGTATTATACTACCAACCATGTAATGCTGAAGTTTTTGTAATTTAGCTTCTTGTTTTTTGTCTGTTAGTCGAACGTGAATACCAACCACTGGGGCTAAAAGAATAGTTAAATTGAAAATATATAATGGAGACACTGGTTGTATAAATTGGATCCTTAAAACAGCTATAAACGTTTTAAAACTCAGTTTAAAAACTATTTCTTTTGTCAAACTATATAAATCAAAATATCGCGCCTTTGCCTATTTCGGAATCCTGAATCTCGTTTTTTATAAAACGTCGCTAAGACCTACACTTCAATTAGTACCTTCATTTGGAATTCTCGAAACAATTTTATTCGTCTCATTTTTTGTTCTTTTATTTTCTCTCCAAATATATTTGATTAACTAAAAATAAAAAATTCCATACATGGAAGTACATATTAGCCATTATGTAATAAGAGCTAGCCCATAAATTTTTAGAAAAATTCTGCATATGCTTTTTAAATTTTTCCTCGATCCAAGATTTAGGGTTACTCTAGTATCTGGACCCGAGAGCTAGTAACAAGTTGTTACTGTACTTCGCGTGGAAATACTTCTTAATTGGGTCCATGACTAGTATTTCCCGAAATCCTTCAGCTCATATGTATTTTAGGAAAACATGTTAAATTAATAATATGTATAATATTGGGTACGTGTCGTACCCGACAGTACCATATTTTCACCTGTCCATGAAACCAAAGACAAGGATTTGAATGGTATTTTAGAAGAAATTTTTTAATTTCCATAGGAGCAACCTCTGGTGCAAGTGCAAATCTTTTCTTGTGATTGTTTAACTTAAAATAATTTATTGTATAGGCTCTGCTTCATAACTATAACTCCACTTTTAAAAAATTTTATTCTAGCGGTAGGAAAAATCTAAAAAATTGAAGCAAACAATCTAAAAAATTGAAGCAAACAATTAGGCCTATATCTCGTTTCAGTGTCAAGATCTCGATACCTTGAAAATCAACGTAGTATTGGGGTGGAGTTATAGTTATGAAGCAGAGCCTATAAACTGATTGTTTAATGTTTAAATTTGTATAAAAATTTATTCGTTTTATTTTTTAGTTAATATAATGTTTAATTTTAATAAGTTTGATTTTACGTTTATTTCTATACCGAAACCTTTCCTATTTTTGAAAAATAAAATTAATTATGTTTACAATGTCATTTGATTTTTCCAGAAATAAAATCCTATTAGGCTTATCGGTTCCATTATAATTTCGTAATGGAAGAAATGGTTTAATCTGAAAAAGAATATATTTATAAAACTTATGTTGTAAAAACATGTACATGGTCACATAAAAGTTAAGGGACACATTATTTATGCCATAACTTTATTCAAGTAAAAATAATTTGATCAAATAAAGCCTACATATATGTTGAGAATTAAACAAGGAACAAAGCTAATCAAGAATTTTCTGGAGCGACTCCAAGCTTTTGTGTCATTTAAGTAGGGTTTGACCCCGACCCCGTTCCCGAACGATTTTTTCACGATTCTCCCCGACCCGAACCCCGCCCCGAAAAAAAGTGAAAACCCCGTACCCCGACCCGAAAAGTTTCGGGGTTATCGGGGTTTTACATACCCAAAAAATGCCATTTTTGGGAGAATTTTAAGAAAAAAATTTAAAAAATTTCCTTCCAATTTACTTTGCCCTTATTATTTTTGAAAGAAATATGAAAGAAATATCAAAATTCTTTTTCCTGATCTGTTAAGAGACTTGTGGTTGAGTGGCTTAGTTGTTGGTTTCAGCGTATATTTCTATAAATATAGGATTGGGGTTGATCCAAATAAGCTGGACTCGTTTGTTTAGGGATTTTTAATTTAAAATGTGAATCTATTTTTAAATATTATCAGCCATAAAAAACAATGAAAAGATTTTTTAGCTAAAAAAACGAAGACATCCGGCTTTTTGACCTAAAAAATTTTTAAAATATTCGCCTGTGGAGCTGGAAATGTAAGAAATCTGTCTTCTTGGCCTTCCAAGTTTCTCAAAATTTTCGACTGCGGCGCAAAACAACGAAAAAATCGGGCTTCTTGGCCTTATAAAATTCTCAAAATTTCGCCTGCGGCGCAGAAAAGAAAGAAATATCCTGATATCCTCCAAATCCCTAATCACTCGATAACCCTTCAAATCAATGATATCCCTTGAAACTACCCTTAGTCCCTACAATATCACCGGATATCCGCTTTAATCCCTCCAAATCCTCCTTAATCACCTCCAGATCTAATTAATCACTCCAATTTCTCTTATTTCCATTTAATCCCACCTCATTAATTTCTGAATAAATTGACGAAATAAATCGAAAATGGCTTTTTTTAGAGCATCTTTTCCATAAAAAATTTTTTCAGTAAACCCCCGTACCCCGACCCGAACCCCGACCATATTTTGCTCCCCCGACCCGAACCCCGCCCCGAAACAATTCGAAAACCCCGTACCCCGACATAACCGCCCCCGAGCGTTCGGGGTCAAACCCTACATTTAAGGCAGACATAAGCCTTTAAAATATTCCAATAGAGTTCAATTTTTAATTGAACCATGGCCAATAATTGATAAAAAAATTTCCCATTTTTTTCGTTTTGCGTGGTTCTGACCACCCCTAGCTGGTTCTGACCTTTCGCCCCTGGTTCTGACCACGGAAACAATTAAATTTTTCTATTGAATTTTTTATTCTTTTACGCTTACATGTTTTTTATAACTGCAATTAGTTATCGGCTCAAATAGTTCATTCCATTTAACATTATATCCCCATACTCGAAGGTCCTCATTTTCAAATATAAGTGTTCTTCCAGTGCCGGTTGAAATTGAAAGACAATAACTGTTATACAAAAAAGTTTTTTGAACATAGTATACCGTCTTTCCTCTAAAATAACCCCCATAATTTCTTCAAAGGACCTCTAATGGGGGTTATTTTAGAGGAAATATATTTTGTTTGAATCTACCTAGCATGGTGAATTAAACAACCAAAACCACAAAACATATCATTCAACTATTTAATGTAAATATTTAATGTTAGGATTTTTGGTACTTGTCGGTTATCTGGAACGCAGAATTTTATCTAGATAGTTATAATTATATTTTTTATTGCTAATCCCGCAAAAAACTTAAGGTTTTTGACTCTATAATTTTTTTATTTTGTAGATGTTTTTCAACATTTAACCCTTATTTTTCAATAATTGGAGTATAGTAAAAAAGTCAAAAACGGAAGTTTTGTTTTTTACAAGACCCTCTTGTACAACCCTCTTTTACAAGACCCTTTTTTACCTATTTTTTTACCATTAGTTTATCTGTTTTGTGTATTCTAATCCTTAATTTCCTTGAAGCCGTTAAAAAGTTTTCACTCTTTTGAAGAAAGCCTAAATCACTAAAAATTCGATGCCAGTTTCTTACTTTCTAATAAAAATCAGATATTCATCTTATTTAATAAATTGGGATTTAAAATAAATTTTTGGGATTTAAAAATAAAATTTTTTAATTAGTAATTCATAATCTGCTTATTTAGATAACTGACAATTCTAGAATGATTTTATACAAATTCTTACCTTACAGACAAGATAGCGAGCTTTTGAGCAATCATAAGGATTTTGAAGCGATTTAATCGCGGATTGGATCTTTTTACTCATGGATGAAAGTTGCTTATAATTATTGTTTTTAAAATG